CCTATTGGTGATGTGGAAGATGGAGATTCTAGTTACTACGTTCGGTTGCAATATAACGGTGATTTTTTCAACGTAATGAGTGAAAAAGAACTTAAGTTGGGCAGTGGAAACAGTGCAGCATCTCTTTTCAGTATGTTACCAGCTGATGGAGCAAAAACTGGAACTACTTATAAACCTAAGTACAAATCTTCTTTACTTGCTGGTGGTATTGCAGCGGGTTATACAATGGAAGGCATTAGAGCTGAGTTTGAAGTGTTTTATTCTAACTTAGGCGTTGATGGTTCAGATTATAAGGCGTCAGCAGGTGGAGCAGATGCACCTGACAATGCAAAGAAATTTGGTAAGAAAACTGGCTTAACAGAAGCTGATACTGCTAATGCAACTGGAATAAATGATGGGTTTAAGAGTATTGTGGCAATGGTTAATGCATACTACGATGTAGATCTTAGCGAAATACCTGTTACTCCTTATGTTGGTGCTGGCGTTGGTGTTTCACGCACTACATTTGTTGGTAACAGTCATTATAAATTAGCTTACCAAGCAAAAGCTGGTGTTAGTTATGCTGTAACTCCAGAAATCAAGGTATACGGTGGTTATCGTTATTTTGGTATGTATGGTGCCGAATTTAAAGATTCTGTGATGAAACATACTACAGCAGCTACTCCTCCTGTGGTTACAGAGGAAAAGGTAGTTCTACAACAAGACGGCCTTTACGGTACACTTGGTGTGCATGGTATTGAAGCTGGAGTGATGTTTCACTTCTAATCTCTTGAATTGACTGTCATTCTAATGTGTGACTTTAAGTTACATTTTGGAGTGGCAGTTTGTTTATAGCCTGAATTATAAATGTGTAAGCTTAAGAAGTGTGTAGCATTGATAGTTGCTGCTGGTGTTGGCAATAGATGTAATACTTCAATCTCCAAACAATACATAAAATTGGCAGGTGAACCTGTTTTACTTCATGTAATTAAAAAATTTCTAGCTAATCAGTATATAGACTATGTAAGAGTGGTAATTAATAGAAACCACGAAAGTTTTTATAGGGATGCAGTGTCCTCAATTGTAGATACTAAATTAATGAGCCCAGTGTATGGAGGAGAAAGTAGGCAAGATTCAGTTAGATTAGGTCTTGAAAGCCTGCAGACTGATTATGTGATGATACACGACGCTTGTAGACCCTTTATTTCACATACCTTAATAGAGAAATTAATTGAATCTATGAGCTGTGAGCATACAGGGGTTGTTCCTGTGGTAGATGTTGAAGATACTGTGTCGCTGGTGGATAGTGGTTCGATCAAG